CTCTGGTAAAATCTTCACATTACTGTACCTCTAGCACACGAGTCTGATTTATTTCTCACAGTACAATGATTTGGTGGCTTATATATCTAACTGTAGAAGGTGATGTTAACATCTTAGTATGTGTTATTATCATCTATAGCATATACATAACATTTACAACCCTCAGTACAGCTAATATTTTCACTATTAACCTATTTCTGCCATAAAAGTAGAACCAAATAGTGAAAATCAACCAAAATTGGAATAAAAAGTGGAAAAACGTTGAATCTTATTATGATGTCGTTACACGTTGCGTGGTTTTCGTAGCCTTGACAACAATGAAGATTTTTATGAAGATATATGCTTAAATCATGTTACTTTATATAAAAATAAGTTGTTTGTCTACTCTCATTTCATAGCTAAGTGGAAATAATTGCCAGTCTGCGATGCAAATATGGAAAATCTACTGTAACATCACTTAAATAATGAGTTTTTAACGACTTCGCCATACAATGTACCGCAAAATAAAATAAAACACTTCTTCACTTGAAACTTTCAAATTTATTTATAATTAATTTCGCAGTTTGGCTGTGCGCTGGAGCACTAAAGTCAGACATCGAAGTAACTACAAACATGCTTTACCTTCTATTCCAAAAGATTTGGGAGGAGGAACAAATGCCGATGGACTGGAAAGAAGAATACCTCATCAAGATTCCAAAGAAAGGAGATCTGAGCAAATGTGAAAACTACAGAGGCATTACACTACAGTCAGTACCAGGAAAAGTCTTCAGCAGAGTGTTGCTGAACCGGATGAAAGACACAGTAGACGCCCAACTTCGAGATCAACAAGCTGGATTGCGTAAGGATCGATCGTGCACAGACCAAATTGCAACACTACGGATCATCGTCGAACAATCAGTTGAGTGGAACTCATCACTATACATCAACTTCATTGATTATGAAAAGGCATTCGACAGTGTAGATAGGAGGACATTATGGAAACTTCTTCGACACTACGGAGTTCCTGAGAAGATTGTCAATATTATCCGGAACTCATACGAAGGACTACAGTGCAAGGTCGTGCATGGAGGACAGCTGACAGATGCATTCCAAGTAAGGACCGGAGTCAGACAAGGCTGTTTACGCTCTCCCTTCCTCTTTCTTCTGGTGGTCGACTGAATTATGAAGACCTCGACATCTGAAGGAAAACACGGAATACAATGGACAGCTCAGAATCAGTTAGACGATTCGGACTTCGCAGATGACCTAGCATTCCTATCGCGTACACACGAACAGATGCAGATAAAGACAGCCAGTGTAGCAGCAGTCTCTGCATCAGTAGGCCTCAGTATACGCAAAGGGAAAACTAAGGTCCTCAAATTCAAAGCGGAAAACAGCAATCCAATCACTCTTGATGACAAAACTCAGGAAGATGTAGAATCCTTCACATACCTGAGAAGCATCATCGATGAACAAGGAGGTTCAGAAGCAGACGCAAAAATGGTTGGCAAAGCAAGGGCCGCATTCCTACAGTTAGAGAACATATGGAACTCAAAACAACTTTCAACCAATATCAAAGTCAGGATCTTCAATACCAACGTCAAAGCAGTTCTGTAGATCACCAACGTAGATGATATATATCGAATGATCGGAAGCCTACTCGAGTTAAATGGGAATGGCGTGAAGAACCAGCTAACGTTAAATTCACAACTCGTGGTCAGCATCTCACGTGGACTACCCCATTGATGTATCAATGTACCATAGACGCTTTGAAGACTGTACAACAGAGAGGACGTTATTACAAAAATATATTAGTTAAAGTAGATACAAGCGAAAGTAAGACCACTGCCGTATGGGCCAGTCCATGGTGTACGATTAACTGATGCGCGTTGGTTGTCCTTGACCTTGACGAGGACCAATGATTGGTTCGACATTCAGTGACCCAACTGATTTGGTTAGAACTTAGTGAAATTTTGCTGACCCTACGATACTCCCCCCACCAGATTCAACGGCTGTTTGAATCGGTACCAAACATGTTGGGAGTTGTCGCACGCCGAGGACTACCAAACGAATAATATGAATCCTCCGGGTATTGCCGAGCTGTAAAACAAAATGGAAAGTAGACGGCAAAAGCTGATCGGGAAAACGGTGAGTATTAATATGCCACTAGGACGCTGGTTGAACGTAAAGCGATTAACCATATAAATAATAAAAATAACATAACGTCGCACTGAAATATATAGTTCTGACAAGTAATTGAGTTCCTCTGATGAGATCGTTGAGTTTGCCGCGAGAGTAATGATGGTATAGCGATAGTAGGATAAGTGTATTATCAATCGACGCCGTTGTCTATACTGCCATTGATTTAAAGTTGAATGTCAGACATTGTCGTTTACAGCTTCTAGTTATATCTATATCTAACAGACTAACCGTAAGTACAGAATTATAACCGTGAAGAGCGGTCGTGATTCCGTTGTGCTAAGCTATTAATCAACTTGTAGTCAGAGTTTGAAAATTCGATGACTTCTGTTACAGTCAGTAAGGGTTGAAGGCAACAAATTGACAGCAAAGGTGGCACGGTCGAGTCTCTAAAAGATTATAAACGGTGAGTGCTGCTTGCTTGTTCGATTAGTGAACAGAAAGATATCTAAAAGAACACAAGAAACCAAGAGTGTCACTCTAGACTCATGTCAATGATACCAATGAAAAACGCTGTCAGTGTTAGAATAGAGGCGACAATGTCATTTTCAGTTTTCAGGGGATTCGCTCGACTGCATAAACTGATGATTCACGCGAATGATATTGTCGTCAGACCACCAATTCAACTGGACAGATTATAAATCGTCGAGTAGTTGAACAGCCGATTAATGTACCGAAATCATCTGTTAGATAACAAGCACGAGGAAACAATAATTCATAAACACAGTACGACATCGAAGTAGAATAACTACAATAGTTCGGATGTGTTATAAAGTCAAATCTAAATAACATCGTTCTTACGTATACTGACAGTTGCAGTGAATGTTCTTTTAGGTATTATTGGCGTAACAGTTGGATATGTGAATAAAAACATATACCAAAACTATGGTTGGGTTCGTGGAGAATTTTTGAGGACGTTTAGAATTTTCCAAGCCCGTATTGCATGTTAATAAACCGAAACTAGAATTTAAATGACTGTCGTGTAATGAGGAAATCGAGCCCTAATTTACCATGTGAAATAATAACAAATACAAGGAGTGTTGTAAGCATTAATTCAAATGGTAACCACCAAAGTAACTAAAGTTTAGACCGGTATACTGTACGTATGAGTCGATTTCCAATAGCATTTGCATTAACAGGCTAACTGAAGGAACAAAAGTATGACCGTAGAGAAGAATTCTAACTAATATTCTAGTTAGTTTGTTAAGTTTAGTACGGTTTATCTAGTTACAGGGAGGTATTTTTGACCTCGTTATTGTTTGATCGTGATGGGATTTAATAAAACTACTAATACATACGATTGGTTACCAAAAATTCTTTCAGTACGGGAAAGTTGATAACTATGTGAACTATTGACATATAGCTAGGAGTAATTAGTTAGACACGAGTGTATTCGTAAGAACTCTGCCTTTAGCTCTTCTAGAGTTACTGCCGGCCCCACGCCTGGGTAAAAGAGGAAGGTCGTGCATGGGGTTGGCGATCTTACCCCGTAGAAAGCTAATTCGCTGAGAAAATGCTGACCAGAAAAATAATTCAAACTACTTAAACTCTGCCCTGGGAGTTTGGAAGTCTTCACTTAGAAAAGCTATGACGCCTCACGGTGAAAACTGAGCTCCTTCGGAAGTCACAAGTCCGATGCCCGTTCTAACAACCGGAGTAACAGTTTTTATAGGTAGATGGAACATCCGGATAATGTGGGAAACCGAGAAGACCAGTCAAATAGCAACGGAAATGAGAAGATACAAACTGGCAGCACTGGGAATCAGAGAAACCCATCAAACCCAAGCTGCAAAGCCAAGGCTAGATACGAGAAAGATGCTGTTATACTCCGGTCACGAAGAGGAAAATGCTCCACACACTCAGGGAGTTGCTACAATGTCCAAAAAAGCACGAAATGCACTTGTAGGATGAAACTAACAAGTCGACCAACCTCTAATGCGAATTGTTTGTTCTGCTGACCCTGTTAACGTAAAACTAACAGATTCGTTTAACGCGAGACATATTGACCTCCAAATAACTGTCAGTTGTTAGTGCTTTTTGTCATCTCCAAATTATATATGTGAGGAATGATGAGATGTTATGCCTAATGAGCTCCGTATGTGTTTGTTAGCCAGATGGTGTTGCTCAGAACCCGAGTAAAATTAGCAGAACAAGGAATTATTTGAGAAAATTGCGTTCGTTCGTTCAGAAAGTTGATAAGAGACATGAACTGGAGAAGACAAAATGGGTATACCCTAACACCAAAAAGGAAGCACGAAAAACCAGCCAGTTACAAAGATATTGGACTGTCTGTGAAGTAAAGCATGCATAGGTGACCGACGTCGTCTTCTTTGTCTAGGTTGTGGTGGTGAGTTAGGAGTTGTATGCTCTTCAGAAGAATGATGATCACTACCATCATCTACATCCTGAACGCAAGCATCTGACTCGGATGAACTGAATTTACGTCCATATGTACAGACATATCTCACAAAGAAATACTTTAGAGATGGGTCATCATTGTTCTTTATACATAATGACATAACGTACTTAGTATGCGTATACTAAAAAAATAATTATTAACCACAGAAGTCATATTGCCTTATGACCTATTTAAACAGGTCTCAATATTGTCCCAACTTGTAAATCGTCAAGATAACATAATATCATTGAAGATTCGTCTTACATCATGCATCATCACGATGGCATCGTCTTCGTTACTTGAAGGGTGGACGTTACCGGACATGGTGTGGCTGAACTCAATTCAAATTCAAAAATATTTTGATTTGACCGCTTCTGAAAATTTTCATGGACTGTCGATGTGACGCACCAATCATCTTGCGACAGTTTGACCTTCAAGTGCTCGCAACCTTCGCCAGTGAACGGTACCCCTGGAGCGTTGCCCATTCAAGGCCATCAAAACGAAAAAGCGGGGAAGTCTGTAGAGTAGTAATTTCAATGAAATCGTAAGGTTGGGTTATTCTCAGAACCATTTTTTTTCTTTTTCCTGTGCTTAAGAGATTTTTTTTTGCATTGTTCCCCTCAGTATACTCACTTAGCAATTTAAATAACATCAGTCTTCAGTAATAAGGATAGGAGGTCTGTCGACCTATATTAATCCTTGCAGTTTGTAATACTGTGGAGGTCCAATCTCGTTTTGAATATATTAACAGACGGTGCTGATATTACGTGTTCCGGTAGGGAATTCCAGTAATTCACTACTCGGTGCGAGAAACGGAACTTCAGACGTAAACGGTTTGACCTCGGTTTTTGAACTTTCTTCGAATGTCCTCTCAAATGATCGGTTCTAGACGGAAGCAAAAGATAAGACATGTTAATACCAAGGTCATCGTTCAGTATACAATAAGCCAATATTAAATCACCCCGTACTCTACGGTAAGATAACGGAAATAAGTTAAGGTGTCTCAGTCTGTCTTCATAAGATAGGCCAGCTAGACCTTGTACCATCTTAGTAGCTCGTCGTTGGACTCTTTCTAGCATATCTGCTTCATATTTGAAACAAGGACTCGCTGCTTGAATCCCGTATTCTAAATGTGGTCGCACATAAATCGGGTATAGTAATCCAAACATTTCATCATCTAAATACTGGAAAGACCTACGAATTGACCATAATACCCTATAGCCTTTTGCAGCAGCAGCCTTACAGTGACTAGTCGTTTTGAGATCATTGCTTAATATAACTCCTAAGTCTTTATAGTTTCTTGCGTTGGGTAGCACGAATCCACGTAGTGTATAGTCATACGATTCATCTGAGTTATTTAACTGCATCACTACACTCTTATTAGGATTTACTTCTAGTGACCACCTGTCTAACCATGCCACCAATGAGCTAAGATCGTCCTGTAATACTATTCTATCCGACATACTATGTATGGGTCTCCAAATCTTTATGTCATCAGCGAAGAGTAGAACGGATGATTTTGCTACAGTTGGCAATTCATTTACATAAAGTAAAAAGAGAAGAGGACCTAGGATTGTGCCTTGGGGAACCCCACTTTTTACAGGTACCCACGAGGAGAGAGCCCCATTAACCCTTACCCTTTGTCTCCTGTCATGGAAGTTACTTATCCAATCGACGACTGTGTTATGGATTCCAAAACGTTTCAGTTTGAATTTAAGACCAGAGTGTGAAACCTTATCAAAGGCTTTACTTAGATCTATGAAAATTACATCCACACAAACATTCCGATCCTTTGCCGCAGCCCACTCTTCTCGTGCAATGAGAAGATTTGTCAAGCAAGATAGGCCTTTCCGAAAACCATGTTGTGCCCTGGAGAAAAGATTTTGCCCTTCAACATAGTTTATAACAGCTATCCGAATGATTTTCTCCATCAGTTTCACAACTGCACTAGTTAAGCTAACGGGTCTATAGTTACTAACTAAATCCCTACTCCCAGTCTTATACACCGGACTTATTATGGCGTCTTTCCAGTCTCTAGGAAGTCTGGACTGTCTCAGAGACATGTCGAATAGTATCGCTAATGGTTCAGCGATTTCACCTGATATGGCTTTCATAATCCTAGGATGAATATCATCGGGACCACTGGACTTATCAGGTTTGAGATGCTGAAGTAGCCTTAAAACAGTATCTTTCTCAATGACTACAGGATCCATCAGCGAGCCGCCACGGTCACAATGAATCATTGGTCGTTCCTCATTACCGATAGAAAACACTTTACTAAAATATTCCGATAAAGCTTCAGCTTTTTCGGCATCATTCTCTGCTAAGATTAACGAATTGTCTCGTATCAAAAGTGATGGAATTCCATCGCTTCTCTTAGTTCGCCTTTTTATATACGAGAATAACCGTTTCGGACTATATCTAGAATCCCTAACCAATTGTTTTTCGTATGAATGTCTAGTCTTGCTTATTAACGCTTTACAGGCATTCCTAATCTTACAATAACTGGATCTGTATTGTTCTAAGCCAGTAGAGATGAACATATTCCAGTGATTCTTCCTTTTTCTAAGGAGTTTCCTGACCGTTTTAGTTATCCATGGTGGACTATTTTTCGGTCTTCGCGGTACCAGGTATGGTATGAACGGGGACGTAACTAGTCTAAATTTACCTTTAAATACAGACCATGCTTCTTCAACTGATATGCTAGTATCTACTAACCAATCTGTCTTAGCAGCGCATTCCTGAATGGCTGATATGTTAGCTTTCCATACATTTGGGCGCGGTGTAACCTGATCGTATAACATGTCCCTAGTTCTAAACGCGAATGACAAAACATCGTGATCGCTGTTTACTAACGGTGGAAGAATATTTAAGTCGACAATATCCTCAGTCTCATGAGTGATTACCAAATCCAGCAGAGAAGAACCCTGGTTAACACCAAAACGTGTGGGTTGGGATACATGCTGCACTAGTGCATGCTCCATCAATGTTATCAGTAACCTACTATCAAAGGAGTTTATAGATCCTTCTGTGGTCATATCAGTCCAATTAATATCAGGTGCGTTAAAGTCTCTTATTATCAAGCACCTGAATGCAGTTCTCAAGCTTAGTTCTCACAAAGGATGTGTATACTTTGGTGAACATGGTAGTATCTAACTTAGTGAATGTCTGTTTTAAAGCCCAGAGGGTTCGAAACCCCTTAACTGCGACCTCCCGTTGATGGACCATCGTCTTAAGATCATAACTCGCTGTCACCCCCAGATCCTTGTGAGACCAGACCACGGGTAATGTCACTTCCCCTATATTGTACCTACTAACCTTTGAATCCCCAAAGTGAATATAGACACACGTTGCTGTGTTGATCGGCATCAGCCACTCTTTAGACCAGTTAATCCTACTATTTAAGTCTGTCTGAAGAGCACATGCGTCTGTCTCCAGTTATTACTCTCCAGATCTTTACATCGTCATCGTATAATAACATTGGAGACTGTACTATACTTGGAAGATCATTAACATACATTGTAAAAAGTAAAGAACCTAGGACGGAACCTTGAGGTACTCCACTAAGTACTGGTCTCCAGATGGAGCACTTGGAATTTATTCTTACTTTCTGTCTACGACCTACTAGGAAATCCTTAATCCATTTTGAAAGAGGTCCGGCAATACTAAGGTTTTCCAACTTCAATAGCAGTCTATTAGTTGGCACCTTGTCAAAAGCCTTACTAAGTATATGTAGACAACATTCACTGAGTTTCCGTTGTCTAGCACCTTTATCCAAAACTCCCTTGCTATAAGGAGGTTCTTTGTACAAGATGGACCCTTTCTAAAACCATGTTCTATGTTTAGCAAGTTATTGGTTTCCATAAATGCCAATTTGGTCCGTTTGACTATTCTTTCCAAAATTTTAACTACAACACTGGTGAGGCTTACAGGTCTGTAGCTCGATGGAACTTGTCTTGGTCCTGTTTTATTTATAGGAGTGACGATCGCGTCCTTCAAGTTCATAGGTAACCCACCTTGGTCAAGTGACACATTGAATATCACAGTCAGTGGGACCGCGATATATTGTGCAATATGTCTCAAGATTTTGGGGTGTTGTTCATCTGGTCCTGTTGACTTTTCCATGTTTAAGGTGCTAAGAGCCTTAAGCACATCGTCTTGATCGAAGTCCAAAGTGAGCAGGTGGTTTGTTGACTCTTTATTTTAGTCTGGTTCTTTCTGTAGAGGAAGTTCCTGAGTGAAAACTGCCCCAAAATAGTCAGCCATAGCCTCTGCTTTTTCCTGATCTTCCTCTGTCACTTCAGATTTACTCCCTTCTTTAATTAGGCAGGGAATCCAATGGTGCATCCTTGTTCTGTAGTTTATGTACGAGAAAATTCTCTTGGGCTGTTTGGGTGCAGATTGTGCCAACTGCGTTTCATATTTTCTTTGAGCCTCCCAAATTTTTGTTATATTGTTTCTTATCGATCTGTAGCGTTCCATCATACCTGCTATGCCAAGGCGGGTGGCAACACCCCAACATTTCTTCTTTTGTCTCAGTAAACGTCGAATATCCCGGCCTATCCAGGGATGGCCGTGCTTCTTCTTTTTTAGAACTGTCCAGAGTATGTATGGTTGAGTTATCCGATTGTATAACTACCTAAAAAGAGTCCATGCCTCTTGTACTGATGCCCTTGGGTCGATTTCCCAGTTTTCAGCCGATGCTTCGGAGTTGATTGCCTCCATATCTGCCTTCCATATATTAGGACAGGCCGGCGCAACTGTTTAATAGGCAATCTCAGCCATGAATTTAAATAAGATGACTGCATAGTCACTTCTCCCTAGTGGTGGGAGGAAAGTCATTTGACTACTCGGTGTGAAAACCTGTATGCCACAGGTAGTTTGTTCGTTATTGGCTTTTCTACTCGCCTGCTATGTCCTCTGAGATGACTCAAATAAAATATAGTTATGGTAAACCCATATGCTTCTTTCCTGTTCAGGATGGAATGCAATATGATAACTACCAAAATGGCTGTGAAAACCAAGGTGCTCTACAAAATCTGCTGATTCTTGAGGTTATTAAACTGCTAAATACAGCTGGAAAGCTGTTCCCAAATAAACAGACGACAGTAAATAAGCAGCTGTTGGATCAACTGTTTAGTGGGATTTATTGTAGTTAGTTAGTGGGTTAATAACTTTGTGACCAACCGATGTAAAATAAACGAATAGAGGCCTGATTAGATAACATATGATTCATCGCTTTCGAAACTTGATTATCAGATAATCAAGTTTTAGCTTTATGTATATGGGTGTTGATATAGTTGGTAAAGTATTTCCCAGCTGAATGAACCTTAAAATAAATTATATCTTAGTTATCTCCATCTAGTGATTAAAAACGTAGTTGTGTTATTCATAAGTTCGTCTTTGAAACATTAGTCCAGAAGTTCAAAATCTGCTTAACTTACCTCTACCAAACCCAGCAGTTCTCTTAACTAGATCTAAATCTTCACTTCATTACCGAAACGTCTGTTATAGTTTTTTGCATCTTGATACATATCATGGCTCCTATTTTCGACAAATGCTTTAACGGATATTAGAACATTTAACAATATATGATTATTTTCTTAATGTCTGTGATACCAAAACGGAAAGGAAAAATAATGAGTTTATAGGTATCAGTGCCAAGGTTGGACTTCATAGTCTTAAATAAATTGAGTATTGGGTAGAGAGTTAATAATAAGTATATTTTTTGTTATGTCCCAATGATTTATTTACTCTGAAGAAGTGACTTACATTAAGCCACAAAGTGTCAGAAATACAATTTCTCTACTCATTGGGATATAACAAAAAATCTATTATGAAAAAGTATTTTCATATTTTATAGTCAAATACCCTCCATGAGACTTACTACTAAATTCAAACTCTTTCTGCCTTTGAATAAACCTATCATCAACATGAATCAATTTGTGGGTTTCCATGAAAAATTAAGCGAGCAGGTTAAATTTGTGTTTAAATAGTCTAAGTCACTTTTGTGTAGGGAATAAAACGGCAGCAGATTAACTAGTGTATTAATAGAACTGCTGAAAACTTAATCCGTTGGTTTAAGTACTCAAATTTCATTCTTCTGATTGGATAATTAAGTCTGTGGGTAGTTTTGGTCAGTATTTTAATTTTTCTCGAAAAGACTGTGGCCTAAAATGAATTGCATAAACACGTATTTACTTGCTGTATGACACTAACATTATTATTAAGAGTTAAATATGTCATCCTTTGATTGTAGAAGCGTGCAATTTCGAAATAACTCATCGTCGCCTATTTACTGTAATAGACTGATGTGTAAAAATTAAGTACGAACACCAAGTATTAGCACGTGTTAAGTGTAGTTGTATGGTCATTTCTTTTTGAAAGTCGTCGTGACACAACGATACAACATTTATCAGTAAAGACATGGACTCCAGATTTTACGTTTTCAGCTCTCATTTGTGTGATTATGAAGAGTAAATGTTCTATATGTTATTTAGGTTAAGCTCTAGTTGTTTGTTATTTGAACTACTAGCATCAGTGAACCCTACTTGGCATCTTCCTTGGTGAACTAATACCAGTCCCATTCGTATTGTTCTCAGTCTTTAAGAAACGTCTTAACAATATATATATATATATATTACTGTCAGACAACTCTAATTACTGCAGCTCTCCTTGTCTTTTGACCCAATCACTTGTTCTTTTCGCCAGAAATTCTGCACTAATTCAAATAAAATTATACTTGATGGCGATTGATTCTTTGATTTATGTTACTACTTGTATAGAACCCTCCACCGCTTGAGTAAACATTAGCCTACCTAGCTTTGACACATGATACATATTCCAATCACCTGAGTCGATAAAGATTAACTACCTTTTTAGCTAATTTCCAATCCCTACTTAGTTCACGTCTTCTAACCTCAGCGATGTGCACTCGATAATTTCAACATCAATCAATGCTTTGCAGGCATAAAATAACTATCCTACTTTTGATGATCACATTTCACAGCCATAAAGCAGAACAGAATGCTCAGTTTATTTATTTTTTTATTGGCAAACATCTTGCAGTCCCCAAAAGCCTTGGTACGGCCGAGAGTGGGGAGAATCAGCCCTCTCTCTCTCGAAATGCTCTCACATGGTCACGCGTATACAACCATTTCCAAGAAAGCTCTACTCACTGCCTTCCCATGGCGCGGCTGTTGTTTACGGAACTGAGAGGACAAAAAGCGAATGTTCGCGCTTTAACCGGGTTGGCAGATATGAAGGACCCACCTAGAGGAGTTGGAAAACCTTATTACAAAACATTGGTGTATATGGGCTCCAGAATCCTGAGAAAACAAATGGCGTGTGAACCAATCGTTGGTCGCCGGCTGTCACAGGACTGCATCTCCTTACGTTGCTCCACTGCCTTGTAGATTAGACCTTTAGGTCAGATGCTCGGGGTGTGACCCTCTAAGAAAACCACCTGTTTCGGCCTGGGCACCCAGGCAGTATCACAACTCACAAACAAATCAAGTGACTTGTATGGCGCATATGTATTCAGTGCTATTTCGTACCAATATTTATGTGATCAAATAAAGAAATAATGTATATATATATACGGAATATATTCTTGGTCTTTGCCCTCATATTTTCTCAATATCGTTGTTAGCTAACTTTTCTTTTTTGTAATTCTTCCCTAGATGTATTCAGTAAACATTTGGATTGTTTTAGTATATTCTTGTACTTTGATTATTCAAAATATTGTTGTGTCTTCATTTAATGTAAGTTTCATTTGACAATAATAATTACTAATAAATGATTTCAGATAACTTCAGATGTAATATATTGCAACAATACAAGTTTATATCAAATATCAGTTAAGAATCAAACACATACATTATGGTATTTAATATCTGCCAGTCAAAATCATTCGCCTTCTCTAATATTAATATACACTACTGAAAAATCTAAAGTCAATGTGGATTGTTCCAAATTTGATGATAATAATACATTAAACTATAGGCATTCAGTTTCAGTTAATAATTCTATCCAATCTTACGGATTAATATTACATAGGGTTAGATTTACTTTGGAAATTCATGTTTTATTATTTGAATTAGATAATTCGTTATCGTGATATAAATGATGAAACAATTGCTCCTGACACAGGAAATCAAACAGAAACATTTTTAGGAAGTAATTTAAACTGGAAAAATTCATCATTTAAGAATAACTCAAATGATGATCAAATCAGTATCGAATTCGAAGCTACACAATCGTTAGATTCTCATGAGAAAATAGACGGTGTTATTAAATTGAATGTATGTTGACTTTGAGTAATTAATTTTTCCTAAAATAATTCAATATTTGGATAAGATATAATCTGTTTTATAGGTGTTATTTTCTATTTTAATCATTAACTACAGTTTGTTGAATAATAGCTACTAGTAGAAGCCACGATGTATGTTTCATCCCATTTGTGATACATCAGCATCTCAATGTTGATATTCACACTGACATTTCAACTGAAATGGCCAACGCATTATCTGTTGAGCTATTGTGTTCAAATAATCTCTGGTTTATGTAATTAGGATAAATTTTATTTTTAAAGGTTTCTATTTTTCTATTGTTGATGGGGAGGACTGTAATTAATTAATCTTCATTAAAATATGTTCATCAGCTGAGGAGATTCAATCAGCTTTGTTATGTAGTCACTTTTTATTGAAATTTGTAGTCTTTTACATTATTAACGCGGGAAAAAAATACAAAGCATTATAAATAGTCTGTCATTTATTTTGATTTCATATAAGTATTTAGTAATATGCTTTTAAAAAAAAATCAGATTGGTAAAGTTAAAGTTCCAGGTAGATTTATCTGATGATTCAAATAAAGGACTAAAAGTACATCCTAGATTCCATCACGAATTTTTAAAATCTAATCCTAATAAACATTGTGATCCTACCAAAATATTCGAGCCATCAGTTTGGGATGCATATAGGTCAATGAAGATTAATCAGTTTCAGTCTTTAACATTAACAATGGCAAAATTGGAACTAATACAGCTACCATCTATACCCGTCGCACAAGTTAGTGGCTATTTAGACTGATAATCTTAGTTGGTAACACACAAACCGTTTGAGGCAAAAAATACTGGATTTCAGTGTTTCCTTTATTTACCTTATGTCGAATTTTTATCTGAAGAATAAACTGTCTCCATATCTTGTTCTATTCTCAACCTATTGTAAATTGATCATAAGCTTGGCATTCTGATTCTTCCTCTATACCCTTTTGGTACACATCCTTTCTGTTTTATTATGTTTTGTAGTCTATATGCTTATGTATTTGATCATGCATTTTTCGAGAGTAACATCGGATCTCTGCCTAATTTGGAGATATAGTTTTTCTAACTACAGCCGTCTTCTCTTCTGCCTACTAATCAGTATCCGTGAGGTAGATAATTAATGATCCGATAGAATAGTTTCTGCCTGCAAAACTAAATTCGTCATAATCGAACTCACTCAAGGTTACGTTAAAGAGCCTAGCTTTATTAGTCCTGAGACAAATTTTTCTACGGCTCTAAGAACAGAACTAATGGGCAGACAGATCACCTCATGTTCTTGCTTTTATCTTCCCATTCTTTTTCAAATAAAAACACCTTATCTGATTTTTATTAATCTTTTCCCATATGCATCCAGAAACATTACAGTGCCTTCTCTAAAAATGTAATGTGTAAATTTTCTAAACTTAAAAATTTCCTCAAGACCTCATATATCATGAACTGACTAACTTGAGACTCATGGAAATCAAGAAGTACCCTGAACATAGTTGTTTCAACCCATAGACGTGGGTTTGGCTGAAAAACTATATAACAATTATATCACTAGTCATTTGAAATAAGTGAATTGTGACTAACAATGGTAATCCATTACGCTCCATTCTTCTTATTTGCAATTTATCAGTTGGATATACCTAGGTTCGAATATCGATACTCACTTTGAGACTCAAACTGGATGCAAACTACCGACTTAACAGGTGTAATGTTTATGTTATGTTATCAGTAAAGAGGTTTGAGTTGTCCTCTACAGATTGCTTATGTACACTAACGAAAATCCGATCAAAGTGCGGTTGTACTGTTAGTCATTAGTTTTAGCCCATAATATATCTTATTCTAGTTTCCGGACATTCCATTCTATTCATTCTACTTGAGTCATATGTTGACCTTGTCAATTATTCGTTTGTCAGTCTTGATTTTTTTTATATGAGCGTATATCTGTGTACACATCATATCCCATGACTCATTGCATGCCTGTAGCTTAATTTTGTCTGACTATAAATATTGAGTAACGCTTGACTAAAAATGAGTTGGCTTACCAGCCATCTCCACTCTCCGTTGCTTCTATTCTATTCACCTCATATACAAAATCCCATTCTCGTCATTTGACTTATTTAATTCCGCTATTGACTAACGTGATTAAAGTCGATGATGATATACGAGAATAAGCGATAGCAAACATTCGTACGATCTAAAATGGAGTCAGATCCACGGGCCACACAGTCATTAATATCAGTAACAGAAAAGTTACTATTCCTACTTAATAGTTTGGTTATCGATGACTTTTTTCTTTTCATCTCTTCATCAGTGCTTGATGGTTTATTTAATTGTAGTGAAAGTCGTGTATCCTTAAAGTTACCATTTCCTAACCAATACCAATTGTTCCCACTAAAATATTCTCATATTTGTTTGCTTACATTATTCATTGGGATTGTATATGGATACTAGTGTTCGGTCAAAGATTAAGAATGATATATACCTATATATATGTTTTGTCTTGGAGTTCTTAAATTTCAATTTCTTCATAACTCGAGCAGACACTGATTTGTGTGCATCGTTTCTCGTCGAAATGAAAATTCAAAATCCCCATAGAATACACAAAATTAGAGAATATTCGAGCGAACAATCGCCTTCAATAACTTCATTATCAGGCTCACTAATTTTGAGTCCATAATTATTGTGGCTGGGTCGGTGGATACGGAGGATATATCTACCTAGGGGAGTTGAAAAACCCTGATTCCAAACCAATGGTGGATATGGGCTCCAGGATCCTGAGGAAACAAATGGCGTATGAACCTATTGTTGGTCACCGGCTGCCATGGGACTGCACCTCCTTACGTTGCTCCACTGCCTTGTGGATCAGACATTTAGGTCAGATGCTTGGGGTGTGACCCTCTAGGAAAACCACTTGTTTCGGTTTGGTCGCCCGAGTTATGCAAATCGAATGATGAAATGTGGCGCGTATCTATTTGGTACTTCCTTGTCCCAATGTTTGTGTTTAAATAAATAATATCACAAGTGATGGCATGCATAAACAAATTTGACAACGTTATATGTTAAAAATAGTGAATATTTGCTTCTGTTACTATATAAATACTTCAAAATTGTGTTATTTGTGAATAATACAGGTCAGAGTGATTTGTAGTAAAGTACCAAGTCATAATCAATGTATTAGTGATATCGGTATGAATGACTCAATTAGGTGATCTACTGATCTTGTGTGTACTTGGTGATTTGTAGTTTGGTTCCTGGATTTTGTGTACTAATTTAAATAATGACTTTGATATCGAATCGGACGTTTATCTAGAATATAGGTGTTCAATCCACGTGTTTTTACATTGATATTCTACTAATGATATGAAGTGAAGTAGCTGAGCATGTTGACTACTTCCCTCATGTTGCAAGTCTCAGTAGGTTCTTGTTTAACGAAAGTTCAGCACTGATTAAGGATGTACAATTGGTTTTTGCTAACTCGTGTCAACAATATTGTGGTTGAGATATCCATCTCCCAACCATAGAAAGGATGTACTGCACAGCAGTTCATTCTGTCCTACTTCATAGTTGTGAAATATGGTCTTTAAAAACTGGGGATTACTAGTATTTGATACCTTAGAAGCATTGGTAGTTTATTCTGGGACCACTGATTACTCATTACTGAGGTTAGATGCAGGGTACCAGGTAAAGATAGCGAATCAGTTGATTTGATAGTGAATTTTTAGTGACTGGGGTGGTTAGGACATATATAATGCATATCCAACTACCGCTTACTTAGACGTACAACTTTTAATCGTGTAGGAGTGGGTTGTAACAAATCCACGTGTAGCCAAACTAGGGTGAGACATCCGTTCACAAAAACACTGACTGTTAGACTAAGCCGTAAAGACAAATTCAAATTAATCTGTTGTGGTTATCACGATTACTGTAAGGACTGGTTGAAGGCGTTGGGTAGCGTAGCTTAAAATCTGTCACAATATTACAGATGTATTTATTCTTTATCATCCCTAAAATGATCTTATACAGTACTTTGTGAATTCATTTTTTCTTCTCAACTTATATGGTTGTCGTGCATAAATTTATCAGATTTTACATTGACTAACTGATTGCTTGATTTAACTAGAATTAGTTTATATTTGTGCTAATGATGTCGTTCAGAATAACTATGAAAGCTCCATGACCAAACCATCCAGTTCATACAACAAAACTCCATCAAGATATTTGAGAAAAAAATCAGTAGCTTTCACTAAGTATACATGTTTTTTCATTCTCTCTCTCTCTCTCTCTCTCTTCCTTTTTACATCTTATCAGTTTAAAGTGTATAAAACAGCGGAACCACGATATAAAGAAATGTATTATAGAATTGAGAATGCTTTAAGTATTTTTATTGAATTAATATTGGACAACGTGGAAGTAATAAATTCAAATGATAATTTTTCACCTGTTCTATTAATTTTTTCCAATCATTCACTTATGGACGATTCATATTATTGGAATAAAACAACTATTCAAAAATATTGTGAAGATGGTCCTTTGGGCAAAATAAAAGTAGGTTAAACTACTCACTTATCATTGAGATGTATTTTTATTTTTTCAATAATTTTTCTATATTTATGTAAACAGTTTCATTTTATTGAAAAAATTCTTCAATAGTTCATCAGAGAACAAAACCCGATTAAAACCACTATGTCAGCGTCTATTGGTATACATTTTCAGATTTAGTTAGCTCACAGTATGATACAATGATCGTCCAAATCTTTTTTTTCGATCTCGTTTTGATTTTGACAAATGACCCCTTATTTATTATAATTGAGTACAACATTGAATGGGATTATAAGCAAAGATGGATGGTGACTAGCAGTGGAATCTAGGACGCACGTTTCGTCCTATCTTGGACTCGTCAGCTGGATGTACCTGCATCCTAGAGTTGATGTTCACTCCAAGACTCGAACCCAGTACTGTTCGCTTCAAACGCCATCGCGTGATGGACTTGGCTACTCAGTCCTGATAACCACTAGTTTGTGTAATGGGATGAAGTTTTTGCATTGTTTGTTTAAATCTTCCCATTGATGTTTAGGACTGTAATTGATCAGTCACTTACTGGCATATATGCACGCTGTGCGGATTGCTTCGATATTGCCTTCAATCACAAGCATTATAAGCAAAGATGAATGGATGAATACGATTGTTATCAATCGGTTCCTATCAGTCTTAATGCTTCAGAAAAATCAACTGTTGAAACTTAAAATATTTACTTTATTTCATAAATAATTATTAGTGATAGTAGGTGCCTCTATATCGTGTTCTCGTTCTATATTAATTATTTTGTAAGTACATATTATTACTTGACCTTTGAATGATCCAACAATCGTATATGTGTTTGTGATATTCAGCAACTTCCTGGATTAAAATCTCATGAAGGAAGCAGTAGTTCTCTAAAAAGATCGCAAATGTGTACAGCTTTACTGCTGACAAATGCCAACAAACTAACTAAAGAAATTTCAGTCCACGGTTCCTACTGAATGCTTTTAACTAACCACTATTACTACCAATAAACATTCAATAATATAGTGCCGAGTCAGTCAGTCAGTCCTACTCACTGCCTCCTCGTGGCGGGAGTGTTGTTTACGAAAATGAGAGGACGAAAAGCGAATGTCCGGCGCTTTAACCGGATTCCAAACCAATGGTGCATATTGGCTCCAGAGTCCTGAGGAAACAAATGGCGTATGAACCAATTGTTGGTCACCGGCTTCCATGGGACTGCATCTCCTTACGTTGCTCCACTGCCTTGTAGATTAGACCTTTAGATCGGATGCTTGGGGTGTGACCCTCTAAGAAAACCACTCGTTTCGGTCTGGGCACCCGGGCAGTATCACAGCCCTCACACATATCGAATGATATTTGTGTGGCGCATATGTATTTGGTGCCTCTTTGTACCATTATCTATGTGTTGAAATAAATAAATAAATAATAAGTCAGTCAGTCAGTCTTGCACAACATAAAACCTGACCACATATGTACATCAGTTTAAGTTACCACATCCCGTTAGCACAGCAAGCTGGGATTGTCAGGCCTTAGCACAGAGTAGTAGAGGTATTAACAACAGTATTAGTGGTAATAGAAAAGAATTGTTATCAAAGATACGATTCGAGTAGAAAACGTAAATTAGTAAAATGAAAGAATTTTTATCAGGAATTTAGAAACTTAGTATCCAAGGTAAAACAATGGTTGAATGCATCTGCTCTGTTTCGAATAATTTTGTGTTATGTCACTTTAGGTCTGTAACCACTGGTTACGGTAATCACACGGACCCCCACCGAGTAATCTGGACTCGTCTACTTGGTTCAGTCTTATAATCAGTTTCTCCGTGGACTGATGGTTTGGGCAACCCTAGTTTTCTTTCAACATACTCCTACACCATCCATCATCGCATATCAAGGTAGTCGGTAGAGTGGGGGGTATATGTAATGCATATCCTAACCATTTTATTGGATAAAAATTAATCACCTCGTCAATTAATTCGCCATACTTAGTACTCTGTATCTAACCTCAGAATTGCTAACTCTATGGTCTCAAAATATACGAGTAATGTTTCGAAGATACCTATAATCGAATATTAGTAATCTACGCGTATCCTGTATTTTTAGAGGTCACATTTCACAGCCATGGTATAGAATGGAACAAACTGCTATGGAGTATACTCGTTCTTTAATCGGTAAACGGATATCTCGCTTACTCCATAAACGATACAAATTCTTAAAACCAACCGAAGTTTCTGATATTGTGCTGAGATTTCATCACACATCAACCCAACAGAGGTGATGAAACTTTCAAACGAAGTGAAGTGGTCAACTCCCTCAACTGCTTCACTTTCTATCATCATTAGTTTAGACGTTAAGCCAGATCAGTCTTGAAGCAACATTTTGCATTTAGATTGGTACGTTTGAAGGGATTATGAGATCACCTAAATTCGGTGAACGGAACGAAGGATCAGCAACACAACGACAAGACAAGCTAAACTATTCCGATGCGTCCCAACCCTGCCAACTATAGGGAGAAGACCTGGTTCAGATGAGGGGAAGGTATGTTCCACAAACAGCCAAAAGCACGATCAAACCAAGCATGCATATATATATATATGTAGTATAAAAAGGTCTTTGGGAAAAATCACAAAATAGCATAATAAAAGAGGCAACGAATCAATGACATTTAGGGTCCTTCTAAGTGGGAAATAGTCTGATGGCAAGAATGGGTGCTTTTGGTTCGAAAACGAGAAATTCAAATTTTCAAAATGAAATTACAAAAATAAGACGTTTACCAAGTGAGTTTTGGGGATCCAACATCCTCAACATAGATAGAAGGAAATTCATCTGAAATATATGTGCATTGTTATGTAAGGTAGTTAGAAGATCCTGGATCTTTTTTCAGCCTCTTTTTTTAACTAAAATTATATCTCGATATTCTAAGTCAAGCGAATACTAATTGTTGGAATTCAATCAATAATATGTTTGTAGTCTTTATTCAGTTACATCACTCAGCGAACATCGTTTGTAATAAGTTAACTGTAAACACTTACCAATTATAAATGGATTAATTTACAACTGTGATAATGCTAAATTTGAGTACTATCTTAAAATTCAGAAAAATGTATGTTATGAAAAAAATGTATTATATTTATTGGTATGACTTATGACCCTGTCAGTTATCACTGGACGAAATCTCCAGTCAGAATACCGTCTCTTATGATCATGTCCCTGTGCTAAACCAACGATGTATCAACCACGAGTAGCCTTGAGTCAACTCTGAATCTTTATTAGTCCTCTGTACATCAGTTTCTCACCTAGTCCAGTCAGTTCAGCCCAGAACACAAATATCAGCCTCCGCTATACGAATCGTATATTTCAGATATATTCGGTTTATGTACAAGCAGACCAGACCGCCTCACACCATACAATAAAAAACAATAATTATACAAGATCAATTAAGAATTGACTGTGAGTGTGGGAGATTGTAACTAATAGATTGGGATTAAATTAAGAATAGTAAATCGTGTTGCAGTAGCCAATAGATCAAATGGGAGATTATAGTAAAAGGAATACGAATATCAGTCGGTCAGGTGCATCTGTAATTTTCATATATCAATTATTCAGTTAGCATGGAATAAGTGAGTTTACTCAATATGAAGATATAATTTCATCATTCAAGACAAATAACTAAAATGATTACCATTATTTAACTTTAACAAGAAGAATGCAAGCGTACTAGTAAAATTTATTTGACTGTCACCAGGTGAATTTCAAGTCTTTCTATTCTACACATCTATATATGTATATGAATATATTTAGCTAAACTGTTTTATTCGATACACTTGAATCACGTGTATTGTCAGAAACTTCTATCACGTTATAGTTTTAATATCAAATTTCCGGAAGATTTGTCCATGTATATGTTTATCGATAAGGGCAGGGAACTAGATACCAGTAAGTGTCTGAATGTTATAGTAATCATTGTTAATATGTAAAGTCTTGTGATGTGTGGTATCCGAAATCTGGTACTGATACACGGTATTCTATGCTCTAACTTTTCCCTCCCTAACTGACCACTTGAGAGAGAAAATGTACTCGACTATTCAATAAAGTGCATAAATACTCATGTATATATATATATATATATATATATATATATATATATATATATTCATTGTTTTTCGAAAACACTTAACTTGATAACATTACCGTAGAGTCCACTGACATGAATTAGTTAGTTAGAACTGATTTTTGTTCGCGGTTGTGAAATTCATGTATAGATATGTTGTTAGAGAAATAAGAATAAGTGACATTCTTATTAATACCGTTGAATGACGACTCAGTGGTCTAGAGGTTAAAAATTCGCACGCGAGACTGAAGGTCTCGGATTAAAAATGACAAGAGATATCAATAAAATCCATTAATTTTTATGTTTATAACTCATTCAAGTATACAGTTTCGTGTACACTTGTAGTGAATGAACACTCAGGTGGCGAACACCAATTTATTTTTTAATGCGTGAAAATCATACATCAAATATATCATTTACACATCTTTTTTGAATTGTCTTTTATAAGCGTCATTGTTTCTTCATTCCTGTTGTTCTCTTGATCATCTTCAGTTTCCTTTTGTCTTCTCCTCATTTCAATCTTCTTAACCTTGTCGCAGACATCCCACTTCCGACTGGTGTTACACCTTACTTATATATGCAAACATTAGTAACATACACTACACTCGTCCCCTCTTTAAACGTTCGCTCCTGCGGTTATTCTCCCTCTTTCTTCTTTACCTCAGTCTGCCACCCTCCTCTTCAAAATGTCGAGTCCGCCGGTGCGCTGGATTTCGTAGCTCCCTCAACCTGCCGATCCAATTTATTTTGTTAATACAGAATTTCGGGATGTCTTCGTAAAATACGAAACTATACATTAAATACATCGTCTGCACATCTTCCATCAATTGTCCTTTATACGCTTCATAATTCCTTCAATTTTTTTATCACAATTACTTTCGGTTCTCTTCAATTGGATCCTCTCAATCTTCCTCTGGCATGCATTCCATTTTCGATTAGTGCCACATACTACTTACATATATTGACACAAGTAGCATATACCACTCACGTAGTTTTATGTTACATATTAAATATTTTGTGTTAGTAATACTTACAAACTGGTTTCTCAAATACTAATAGTAATATGAGAGAATAGTGTTTGTGAATTTGTCATTTAGTGATTGAAATTTGAATATCTTTAACCATTGAACAGTTGTTCCACTTTTCCATGTAAGTATTCATATCAAAGAATATAATTAGGTGGCTATTAATACTATATAGAGTTCTCTTTCGCTTTAATTAATAGTATTTATCATTAAAAATGGGGATAAATTAGGATTAAAAGATCCTACGAATTATCATCTTGCGAATTAAATTCTAGACGTTACTATGGTCAACTGGTTAATAAAAAAGTGCCTACCCATTTCTGTACTTATATACAGGTACAATCTACTTCTTATATGACTATATTGAAAATAACAATTCTCATATCACTCTTTACCACAAAATACTACTTAAAGACACAAGTTTCACGATGTACTTTCAACATACAATTCAAAGTTAAGAATGATTTCATGGAAATTAGTATTTTGAATAGTTTGTTGACGGATTACCTCTTGTTTATCTATTATCTCTTGAGACACTAATCAATATCACGTGCTGCATTCAGTAATAGGAATTCCAACTATAATTTTTCTATCTAGCGTCTACTATTCCATCTATAGTCTAACATTTTAGAGTTGACCAACTATACGTTCTAAACTGGACTGTTGTTAACCTTAAGTCAACATAAACTCCCTGAAAAGAAGTCATCAATCAACCTTTTACTATTATTATGTTTTAATTAACAACTAGTTCAATCAGCCAGCACAACTAACAACTATCTCAAACACTCCTTACTTCGTATAAACAAATTATTAGACTGGTACAGTACATCAAATAAGGTATCACATTTTAAACATTATAATATCATAACTGATAGAGAACAAAACAAACAGTACGTGATTGATTAATAATAATTAAGGAATAAAGTATGGTAACAGTTGATAGGTCTACTAGTAGTCTATAATAAGGAGAATATGACACTAAGTATAATACAATCCATCTATTAATTAATTAATTCATTTTCTTTCATAATATATTTCTCAGTCACCATTTATCCAATTGGGATTGGAAGTATCAAAAGATAATAAATTAATTCAATCTACATGGCCTAATGCTTACTTACAATTTCCTGCAGCTTATTGGATTGATCGTGAAAATACTCAAGCTCAATTAGTACGACTTGGTATTGCACGCCCAATTGATCATCGTTATGTTAAGCCAAAATCATATCATTTTAGTTTACCATTCGCTTTCTACGGTGATCGATTTAATCAAATTCATAGTCAGTCAACTGAAAATCAAGTTGCTGTACGTGAATTAATTATCAATTTAGGCAGTCCTCATTCGAAACATTACTATGCTGACACAAATTATTCATCATGGTAAGTTTATTTATTATTTGATTATTGCTCCATTATATATATATTACGGTCATTGTGGAAGGGATTTTTGAGTTGAAACATGCTACTCAGTTACTCATTCGCAAAGAATGTGAAAACTTCAGCTGAATAGTCTGCATCTAACTTTACTGCTCAGTTTAACAGTCAGTCATTACGTGGGGTGATGTCTCGTCTCGGTTTCAACGCCCTTAGATTTCTTACAACTTAGTCGTACATCACCTAACATCGTTCATCGAGATAAGCGGTAGCTGAATATACATAACACTTATCCTGACTACCTTGACTGATGAAAATTCCTCACCTCATCAGCTTACCATCTTTACCTAGTACCATGTACCTAAATTCATCATTGATGATTCGATGGTTTAAATAAATGCGACCAGTGCTTTGAAGACATCTGTATTTAAATACTAGTAACCTAGGGATATCCTCGCTTTCCAAACACCACGTTTCACGGTCATGAAATAAGAAAACGAACTGATGTATACTATTATCGAGGACTAGAAGAGAATAGAGATGTTATATCCAGTGTTCAATAAAGTTCGCTAGAGTTATTACCTCTGTTCATCAAACGTATCAAGTATATTATTCCTTTGATTAAAAGATGGACATCTAGACTATAACACAGCTGACGCGAATAGGCAAAATGCAACCAGGCTTTATGAATATATACTCAGACTCCATTAGACACCAACTCAGCAGGGCTAATGAAACTTCCATGATAAGTAAATTGGTCGATGCGTTTAACTTTTTTTCGTTAATTTATTCGTTCGCTCAGACTAGTTCGGAAGTAACAGTTTGTAGTTAAGGTATAAGAACCCCACTCCAAACGTGCTTGCATTGTTGCCCAAGGTGGCTAAAAGACTGAATTTTATTAGAGTATTTATCTAACAGAAATATGTTATCTATATTTTCTAAATGGAATGATGAAATCTCACTGCAAGTTATCAACGCTTGGATAATTGAATCACGAAAGCTCCAAAAGAATGTCTATGACAGAGTTAAATGAAACAAACATATATGCTACTCACATAACTAGAAATGTGAGTAGCTTTAGAATTGGCATTGCGTATTAGACCCAGTCGATTGTACTGAATGTAATATTCACTTAAAGTATACAAGTCAAGTGTAATTACTTTGGGATTGATTTCAATTACCGATTGAATGATATTACACTACGTTGTCGTTTACTGAATCGTGCTATGAAAAAGGTGATTTTTCACGTGTCTGGAGACGTATTAGCCTTAATTTCAGATATTTTGTCAGCCAATAGTAGATGTACAATCTGGTAGAAATATACAGTAGATTAAGTTGCCATTTCATGTCAACACGACTTGATAAGTTTAACAACATGAATACCAAAGTAATCGAAGATATATAAATAAGGAAGACAAAATGTAGACGAATACTAGAAATCATGATCTAGAATAAGACAATATATGTATTTGCATCATTGTGATCATTTCCATGCCATATCACCGAATATCCTCAACTAATGATCACGATAGTCGTTCGGAACCCAACCAGATAGTTTGCATTTAAAGTCATAACTTATATCAACAGTTGTTGACTTCGTGGTCTGGTGCCAAGTTTTGGTTTCGCTACCCTCAAGCTTTTCTTCCAAACTACTCTTACACCGACAAACATCAAGCACTAAGATAGACTATAGTTATGCTTACACACTACAAGTTCCAATCACTTCAGTAATGAATAAAAGTATTATACTATCCCATAAACCGACTTACCACGTTTACCTAACATATATCTTTTAACCTAGAAAAAATGCCCATCCGATTTTTCTATGATACGCGATCACTCATTATCGAACCATTCAATCTACATCTTTTACTTTCATAGATCATGTTTCATAATCAACGTACTGTTCAGCAAAGTATACTTATCCTTTAGTTAACATTTTTAATATCTCGTCTATAGTAAGCTTAATCGAGAAAAAAAACTATTATCTTGCTACCCTAAGAAAACCCTTTTTATTCTTCCATTTTTTGTCTTATCCTCTTTAGTTTTTAGTTTCGTTTTTTCCTTTCTTCATTTTTTCCTCGTTTTCTTCATGACGTCGTATAGGATTGTCATTGCCGGCCTAGGTGATCCTGATATTGTACCACCAAATGATGATGATGATGATGATGACAAAAATAATAGCAACAAAAATTCAATTATTTCAGCGTTTATTTGTGGATTACTGATTATTATTGGCGCAATCAGTAGTGTTTCTGTAATACGTCGAATACAACGTAGACATTATCAAAGAATATCTGAATTAAATAGTAGTCGTAATAATAATAATAATAGTAATAATAATGAAGCTATTAGTAGTCATTCACGAATAATGGTACAAGAACTATCATCAATAAATGACAATCGTATAGTTGAACCATATCAGTATGAAAAATTAATTAGTCAACCAAATCATGAACTAATCAGAAATAATTATCATACTATAACTAATGAAGATAATTATTTACCAAATAATAATATATCTAATGTCAATTGGGTTAATGCTCCACCTCCATATGGATCTATTACAAAGGATTATTAAAAATTCGATGATTAAATTGTATACTACTACTATTAATACTACTACTACTACTACTACTACTACTACTACTACTACTACTACTACTACTACTACTACTACTACTACTACTACTACTGAAAACTGTTCATCAAATAGATATTATTGTACTTTAACATGATTACTTTTTTTGTTGTTGAATAAAACAAAATTCTTGTATTTATGTACTATTTTTAACAAATCAAGGATCATCATCATCATCTCCATCTTGTTGGTATTTTGTTTGGTATCATATTTATCCCCGGTATCTTCTAATTATTATTATCATTACTATTATTATTTTTATTACGAACACATGTATTGCCCGGTCTAATCAACACATTTTAGATAATTTAATTCTTCAATTATATAATTATTACAATAGATTTTTCTTCTTCAAATTTGTATTTATTCACTGATTTATTAAGATCTTCAAATAATTATTTATTGTAGTTTTCAGGAGTCAGTGAATAGTTAAAACACTTTCACCATTCACCATCCAATAGAAGTTGACAGAAAACTCTTTAAAAAAAACCGGTAGTGTACATATCAGTTTGATTTGGAGGGTTATCTACTCTGGTTGGGTTGCCCCTTCCAGCCAAACAAGTTGCTGAAGCCTAGTAGGCCCTTCTGAAGAGAAATAGGTCATGTCGAAGCATGGCACAACTACCGGGGCTAGAATAGCTGTTTCTGCGACCAGTTGAAGTTTGCCCTGTGAGGAGCGACCCCGTACATTACATGCATCACTTTCGTCAATTTTTTTGTCGTCTTTCCATCCAAGAGTAATTGTGCTGCGTTTCTTTGTGGAGTTCGTAATCGATTTGAGGGTGTCGGTGGATTGGGTGATTAGGCCGATCTCTATCGCCCGGGTTACCGCACACGTTAGTTCATTGATCATCCTTCCCACTATCCAGGAGGCATGACGCGGACGTATGAGTCGGATTTTGCCTTCCATCTACTCTGGTACTAAATTTGATACTACCCCAGAAGTCTCTATGCTTATTGGTCAGATGTAATACTAAAATGACGTACGTTTTTCTGTAAACAAACTGATCTTGGAGTAAAGCTTTTATTCTTAATTTGAGCTTTTTTAGTGCTCCAGTCGACGTGTAAAAGTAGTTGGGGTTATAGGAACCGGTTAGGAAGACAGTTTAAGCGTGTTGGTAGCAAGACTTATTAACATGTCTGTCTTTTGTATGAATATTCTGACAAATGGGTACAAGATAGGGATTAGCTAAAGTATATATTGGATATTTTATACTTCAAGTTAATTTCGCGGAATACATAGAAATAAAAACTGTCCGAGATCTTTTCTTACGAACAACAGTGCTGAAATGTAGAAAACAGGTTAGTAATTGATCAACTATTGAATAGTGATGCATGTCATGTGTATTTAGTCCTTTAATGCAGACCGAACTCTCGATCAAATTGCATTATGTTCAGTAGTCTAAGTGCATCACGTGCTCTAAGTTTTGTTGTCAGATAGTTGAAAGTAATCAGCAGAAAACCCTGCACCCATGTTTAGAATCTCACCGAGAATGCCATTTCCTTCAGAAATACAGGGATGCCTTGGTGACATGTTCCAACTAGTAAGAAATCTCGATTCAGTATTTTTTTTTTACTTTCTCCAACTACCTACCAGAATAGACATCAGATTGTACTGTACATTGAAAATGTTCACCTGATTTGTAATTCCAAGAATAATATGTGTTACGTTGTCTGTTTATTGTTTGACAAAAATTTGCTATTAGACGCATTAGAGTATTTTGTTATCGTATGATTGTTTATTATGGTTCGAATTCGAAGGTATTCTCAATAGTATATAATTGATAATACTACTAACTATGTATATAAATCTTGACATGTATGTTTAACTAATTTCAAAGCTGTGAAATAATAGTTAACCTCTGTTATCAACACTGAAGCTTTTCTGTTGCTTTGACATGCGTTTTTATGAAAATTTACGGGAATTAAGTTAAAATCTGTCAGTAAAGATTTAATTTTTAGATTAGGTAGAAATAAAATGCTTGTAATTTAGTTCAAGAGGTTTTGTGGACATTCGTTGACAACAATCATCTTGGAGGTCTGACTATCCCTAATGGGTTGGTGTCTGACGAAATCTCTGCACGGATTCAAAAAGCTCGTTTGGCTTTTGCAAACTTACGTCACCTATGGCAACGGTGAGATATCCACCTATCAATTAAGGAGGAGTATACTACGCATCAGTTCGTTCTGTTTTACTTTACGGCTGAGAACCGTGGCCATTATGGGTAGAGGATACTCGTAAGTTACAAGTATTTAGACACAGATGTCTTAGAAATATTTCTCGCATCTGCTGGGACCATCGGATGAGTAATAGTGGGTCTGGGTCACGTATCACTCATGCCCAACCACCGGTTACCACGACATGCAGTGCTGACTGGTGTTGGAGACGGATGGAAGAAAGTTAGGGGCGGACAAATCAAAACGTGTTATCAGTCCATAAAGTCAATAACATTTGTTAGGTGCTTGCAAAAATTTTTATGTTTATCCACAACCATATTCACAATGATCTCAAAAGGTTCACCATACGCCCTTCTAACTGCTACTACCTTCAGCACTATTTGCAACATAGTAAAATCTTTCCTCAAAAACTCAGGAGTGAATAGTAAGTAATATACAGTTTACAAATGGTAAAATTAAACATCGACCAATCCCAAAAGCATGTAACCTCTTTATATAGTAAGTTAAACGGTAAACCTCCCTCTGTCTAAATAAAACATGAGAAAGCCATGAGTGGTCAGAGGGAAAGCTTATACCAAGATAAATAGTCACAGATACTACTTCTCATTACGGAATATGAATAGTAATAATGAAGTCTGTTAGTTAATGTGTGTTATGATAGTCGGAGAAATATACCAATAATTATCATGTTAAGTCTGTGGTGGCCTTGGACCTTAAATGTAGAATAATATTGTCCGACCGGCCGTTTTTTTAAAAAAATAAATTTTCCAACCCCAAATTACAATATTTTTCATCCCGTGTTTCGTCCAATGAAATGGCTAGTTTCAAAAATTAGATTTAATTGGTTAGTTATGTCTTGAAAATTGTTATAAATTATCAGTACTTGTCGACGAAGCACAATCTCAATCGTCATTATGGAGCAGAGTAACGTGCCGAGTACAAACGCTGGTGTTTCTCACGTAACGGAAATGGAGGAAGTCTTTTTGACTACCTTGTTTCTGGTTGCGTTTCCATCGGTTGAAGCGTTAAAGACCACTATCACAAATTTTGAAAGATCGACTTACAGTCATTATGTAGTGAGAGATTCGCATATTGGCAGAGATCAAAAATCCTACATTAAATTTGTGTGTTGGCGAAATGGGCGTATAAGATCTAGCGGTTCGTCACAACGTATTAGACGGAGGAGGTAATTTGGTAAATTGTTTTATAATTTTTTTAACGAAGGGCTTCTATGAACACCCAATGTCCAGCATTTATGTTTTGTAAGATTATAGACGGCTATTGGACTGTTGTACGTGGGAATGTACATCACAATCACGAGTGCAATTCCCTGAGGTACCAGGGTAATTCATGGGTGCGCAGGTTAACGGATGGGGAGTTTGAAACTGTGAGACCGCTGCTGATTTCCGGTACCGCTGCATTCCACATAAAGAATTTTGCTTACCAATCTTATGGGAAATGTCTGACCGCTCAAGATGTCTGCAATATGCGGTACAAAGTGTTATCACACGCGAACCTTCCTGGTACGGAATTTGCCAATTTATAATATACACTATAGGTGATTACGGGAAATTGAAAGCTCACATAACATCCTTGGGTGGGCTTTGCGAATACGAATTGGACGATGAGAACTGTCTATCGTATTTCTTCTTCATGACTGCTGAGCAAGTGAATTTGGCCGGTCACTTTTGTGACGTAATTGGTTTTGACTCCGAAGAGTTAACTGAACGGGACATCGAAAATGAAGAAGAGGATGAAGAGAATCGACTCTGCGACATCTGTAATCTTGCACAGCCTCCGTGTGAAACCGGTGATGCGGCTGGTTGGGTTTTCTGTAGATGTGAAGCAATGTTTCATACCTTCTGTGCCTACGACCCATCGCCGAACGTACGAGCAGTGCACTGTCCTATCTGTGGCGCCATTACAAACTAATAGTGATGACGTCCGACCGCGAGAACGAGTAAAGGCCCTTTTCAGGGCCACCCACAATTTGATTTCCATTATTTTTTATCTACTACTTTTCCGCGGCAAAGGTCAAGTGATTAAGCACTTATTAATGTCTCATGAATTTAGATATCCCTTAGAGATTAATAATGGAAAAGCGATTATCGCTCACGTATTCGTAAACTTGTTTCTAACGTTTATTAGATATAAAGGTTAAGAAAACTTGGACAAGATTTTGTCATCTAATGACGACTAATCTAGTAATTTTATATTTAAAATAATGTGATTACCGTTCATGTTTTAGTAAAACATTTGTAAACTATCTAATAAAAGTACATTTTGAGTACATTTTAATAGGGATATTTTAAATTAGTGAAAATCGTAATTTTGTCGTTAGGTAAATAAATTAATGATGACATTTATTAGTGAATGTAATAAGATAATTACAAAGGTGAATGTGATTAAAGCTCATAGAGAAGTAAACAAAATTGAGAAAATTAACTTATTTAGGAATAAAATACTGACTTTATAAAACAAGTTGAAACCATCATCGTTTAAATGATTCATGTGATTAAAGGTCATATAGTAAGTGTAAAAAGAAATAAGACTATTATCCGTTTCATGAATACAAAAAACAAGAATTTCATATTCTTGTTTTATATTAAAAGTTCCTGAAACCAGAACTATGCGTACGTAAGAAGTACGTCTGATCGTAAACTAAGCCTCCATTGTTATTCATAACTACTGATTAAATCACCGTATTCATTTGCACACCTCTTCAACTATTTCTTACTGGTACGATCACACTATACAGTTATTAGTCCATAATTTCCATATTTTATAAAGGCCAAAAATATGTCATGGCATTAATGAATTTGACAATGTAATGTGTTAACAATGGTGAACGTTTACATCTGTAACGATATATATGTTTACAAATTAAAAAGGTCATTCACTAAAGGTCGGGATGATTTGCAGTAAAGTGTTCAGTCACAATAAGTGACTAAGCATTCTAGGAAAATTGAAAATGCAAAAAATTTTGTGTCAATGAAATACATAGTACAAGAATTGAATCTTGTCAATTGACATAATAATAATAATAATAATAATAATAATAATAATAATAATAATAATAATAATAATAATAATAAGGAAAATAAATAATAATAGCATTGTAAATGTTCATTGATACAGTTGACCTTATTCATATTTATACGTTTAAAGTCGATAGATATTTGTTGAGTCAGTCAGACGACGTAGGCTTGTTCATTTACACTTCATGAAACTGATATTTCAAATGCTTGTCAAAAATGTAGACATTCATAATGTCTAGATAATTCAGGTTTCATATTACGGCGGTTAACAATATTCACACATGACTGATTAAACACACACTAGTTTTTATTACGACCAAAAAACACAGAACTACAAATAAATCACAAGTGAAAATAATGAACCGTTTCAATGGATTTCCAAATTAACCGTATTGAAATCTAACGTTGTCTAATTCTCATTATGAATGACCATTTACAAAATAATCGTTTACTAAATATTAAGTGTCTATTTCGGAAAATTTATTACTACTTTCATATACTGTCAAAGTCAGTTCATTAAATGATGGTCGACGGTTGCTTCATAATGATTTATTGATATGTTGATTTCTTTTTCCCATTAACACACCGTGTGTTACAAAAAAACCTATGCACACACTTTGGTGATAATTTCTTTATTAATTTGGTATTAAAGATTTGACTACCGACCTCATTCAGTAATCACTATGATCAAATATTCAAACCGGTTTTCAGTTGCTTTTTCCCAAAAACTTTCTTTTACTGAGATACGTATAATTATTTGTGTTCAGATAACTAACGACTTCAATTCAAGGTATACTTGATCGGAAAACAAAAATTG